GGGGGATGAACAGATTTCATGCGTGAAGAGGAGGGTGCGGATGACTGAATGGCTCGGCTCAAGGCTGTGTAAGGGAGAGAGGCAGCTTTGGCACACTCCCTTTGCTTCGCAAGAAGGAAAGGGTTGGTGAGTTGAAAGGCGGATGAGTATTTACTTGGTAATGGATGCACCAGAGTTGGGTGCAAGTGTGAGTGTCCGCATCGGAGAGCAGATGTGCTGCACAGCGGGGGCACTTGGCCGGAAAGCTATGCTGAGTGCATTGGTGAGCACGGTGTCCTATAGGAAGGCACCGGGGGCAAGTAGAGGGCTTAGGTTTGTGTGGGCGGCATCGGAAAGAAACGCGTTTGAAATATACAAAGGGAGGAAGGACGGTGCCAGAAAGTGTTATGAGCATGGGTCAAGTGAAGCCCATCATGCGTGCAGCGAGTATATCTGCCGTGAAAGATTCTGCCTCACATATATTCTTATTTATGTATCGACTCCCTTACGCAACGCCTCTGTGAAGCCTGTAAGGTATGTGTGACTGAGTTATTATTTAATTGGTTAATTTGGTGATTGGTTAATGAATAAAAATTTATTAGTGAATCATCTTGACAAGAAAAAACTTCTGTTTCGAGCGTGGTTCTTTTCCGCTAAAAAAAGCCCTTGATGCTAACTCTGTTTCTGAGGATGACGGTAGAGCGTGGGCTTACCTAATGTCCCTGCTCGTAACCTTACGCGCTCTTGAGACGTTCTTCATTACGCTTTGAGGAAGCGAGAAAATTGCCCTTTTAGAAAGAGAAAGCGCGTAAGAGCAAAAAAAAAAAAAAAGAAGGGGGTTAGGGGAGACAGAGAGAAAACACATCCAGAGCATCCAGACGAAAACTACATGTATTCTTCTTCTGTCCGGGTTGTTTTTTCCCACTTTATTTCACTTATTATGCCCTATTTAAAAAAAAAGACGTGCAAAATCACGTGCATATATACTCTCCTAAATAGTAGACAATTAGTAGAGGTGCGCAATCGCAGTCAAATCACGTTGTTTATATGAAGTGATTCGGTGTAAAAACTGATCTAGTAGCAATCTCACAAAGCTGTGTGAAGACGTTGAAACGAAATTGGTTAAATCCATGAACTAATCTGTCATTTACAAGTTCGCCGCTTTGCTGCGCATGCAGCGCCCCTAGATGCTAGCACTGTAGGGTTCTCTAGGCAGCAACACTTGCGGAAAAGGCCGTGCCAGCACGCGTCGACGTTTGTGCACCGAAAAACGCTTTGAGCGGATCTTCGGCGTTGCTCGCAAACAGAGCGCGTGCATGAACACGTCGTCACTATAGAATAAATACGCTGTTATTTATTTATTTTTTGGCCAAGTATCCCGGGCGCTGAATCGAAGAAGCAAATGTATAACTATGTGACGTGTAACGGCAAATAGTGCATGACGACTCTTGTAGCTTTGTTGAATTTTTTTGTTTGTCGCTGACAGATGGCACATAGGACGAGGAGGTTGTAGCGCCGAACGGCATTGCGTCCGAGATGAGTTGTGTGGCTGTCGAGGTTCTCAATCATCACTTTCACTTCGGCCGCTTTTCGCCTGTTCGGCTCATAAGCCGAACATGCTATAATAGCGGCCGAATGAATGAGGGGTGCATTTCCTATAAGAAATGCAACCATTATTCATTCGAAGCATATAAGATGGCAGAAATGTCGCGCCCTCGTGTTGTCTTTTTTTTATTTTTTAACATGAAATTGTTTCATGACAGGGTCAACCAAAACTTTTATGACGTATTCCCGTCACGGAAATACGTCAGCAAAATACATGCAATCAGACGGCAAAGAAAAAAAACGAAAACAAAAAAGGATCCGTTGCCGGGGGTCGAAACCATGACCTCTCGTTACAGGACGATGACTGGCAGGTGTTTAACCAATACCCACTGCCAACGCTATGAAGGAGGAGATAAACAAACTCACACATTTAATGTCTCGCAGTGCTCTTGTTCGTAGTGTGCATGGGTTCGCCGTCTGAAAACGGACGAGTAAAGTTGTGCGTGGCTTCCGCGATTATCTCGGTCAACGCACCGTCGCTATACCGTCCCATTCAGCGCGTTTGCAATAGAGGTGTAATTTTGTCAACGCTTTAAACACACCGCGAAAGCGCGAGGAGGCGGCTTCAACCCATGCCTCGCTTATAGCGTTCATCAGTATTAAAATATAGCTCTCTCTGGCGCTCGCCTGGCTGTCACACTGCTTCACCGCATACCACGTTCGACTTATGAGAAATAGTGGCTGGGCTATAGGGAAAGCACGACGAACGTTTCGTTTATCTTCACGTTTCACAACGCTTTGAAGGAGCGCACACCAAGTTTATCCGAGTTCCAGTGTTTATTGTGGGCTTTTCGTTGCCATCTTCGTACGGATTGGCCATGTACAACTTCAGCTAACGCAAAGGCTTACTTATTATCGTGAACGTTAGTATAGTTGGGACGTGGATGCGTCGCTGTAGGCGTCAACGTCGGTGGGTGAAGATCGAGCGGAGCTATATATGCCAAGTACCAAGAGGCATTGTGCAAGCTCTCATAAATCAATGCACCATAAACAACCAACTGCTTCTCTAAAAACGCGTTTCACTTTGGTGTTATACCAACTGCCATGATGAGAAGATTAGCCGAGGTTTTTTTTTTTCCTTTTTTTTAGGAGCGCACGATTTTCTTAGGTCCGCACGATGTGCGTTGACGTTGTAGTGGTCGTTGCTTCCGGTCCGGCCAAAACACAAGTGTTGCATATGCCGCACATAGAACGTTCATAGCACGCATACGGTTTAAACATAGACTATAGTTTAGATATATATGTGGGGTTTAACGTCCCAAAACTACCATATGATTATGAGAGACGCCGCAGTGGAGGGATCCGGAAATTTCGACCTCCTGGGGTTCTTTAACGTGCAACAAAATCTGAGCACACGGGCCTACAACATTTCGGCCTCCATCGGAAATGCAGCCGCCGCAGCCGGCATTCGACCCCGCGACCTCAAACCGAGTATGTTTTACTTTGAGCGACGATGTTGCGCTGCTACCGCACGAAGGCGCTAAAAAGCGCCCAAAAGACGACGGAAAGAGCAATCCACATTTCACCGTTTCGGCAAGTTGCCGCCAGGCGGCGACTATGCTCGATCTCGCGGCCACGCAAGCAAAGCGCGGGCGCTCTGAGTCCGACGCGATGGGTGACCGACGCGACTGGCGTCCTTTGGTGCACCCCGGTGGCCACCTGGCACCATTGTAACCATTTACATTTCATTAGCGTCCAAGGAGCTTCGCTCAATCATTAGCATTCATATCATGAATTGGCTTTCATTTTTTAAGATCTTGCATGCTTTCCTTTCAAATCTCCATCAATTAAAACCACAGTCTATGTTCATAAAAAGAAATCGCTTGAATATTGTCAAAATAAACCCTGCAGCTTTCAATTTAGTCGTTCAATAAATACATTAAGCTTTGTTGCAGTTTTCGCTAATTTATGACAAGATTGTAGCAGAATCTATGGTATTAGTTTTGAAAGAATGCAGTGAATCGTACGCTGATATATTTAAGATTCGCGTATCGCACACCTGCTTAAATAAAAGAAATCTTTGCACTTACTGATATGTCACATGACTTCAGTCTGTACAAATTGTACAGCTGCATTCGAAAGCTGCGGGAATACGGCAAGTATTAAAAAAAAAGCCCCGCAGCGTTTAGCGGAATGCTATACGACTCTGCAGAAAAGACGAAAGACAACAACGTAAAATATGCCTACGAAATTCTATACGCCTCATAGCCATCTCCTTTCTTTGCGAAACGTGCCCCGGTCGGAAGAGGAAGCCGCACTGATACTGAACGCACAGAGACGATGCCTTGCTCGCTCAACATGAAAAGCATTGCATATACAGCGACGAAGAATGCAGTGCCCAGATACAGCACAGACGTTGTGGCGGCACAACAATGAAACCGCATAAAACCCTATGCCGTGGGACTTGGCTTTTAATTTTAGGTGGTAGGTGAAAAGTATTTATTTTTGCAAATCTGTGATAATGTCCACACACCAAATTTCCGGCAGCAATTAATATCGCTTAGTAATAGTGAAGACTTTTTAAAAGGAGGCCATGGTCGTTCTCGAATAAGAAGCCTTAGATAGCCTTCGCAGTGCAAGGGGGAGTTAAAGAAGAAAAGGTGGGCGTGCAATAATTCTGGCATCGTGTGAAGAACTCAGACATTGATGTTCGGATAATTATCGATTTATATGGCATATAACACCAGGTACCAAAAATAAAAAAATGCCAGCTGGCACTTTGTATTACCTAAATCATTTCTTTTTCAAAATTAATTATTGTAATCGTCACTTGAGGTTTGGTAGAAAACAAACAAACAAGCATTATATACCTACCTTTGTTTTACGTCCACATGCATCAGCGCTTTTATCCGCAACTAGATAGATCGCTTCGCTGCATTTCTGTACTGAGGGGCGCGACGGCCACCAATGCACGTCGCAGCACTGGGAGAAAAGACGTGATAACAATGTGCTTCTAAAAATGAATTTTAAAAAAATTTTACCTACAATTGGTTGCTTGAATTGGTGCATACATTGAAGTTGTACATAGGGCGTGCATTCGCAAATTACCATGATGGTGACAGGACTGAGAATGAGCCGGAGAAAAAACAGTGAAAGCCTAGTCATCTCTCGTTCACGCTGGAAAGATATAGGCAGAGGAGAAAGACCTTCGACGTAGAAGTTGCACACGTCAGCACTCGGTCCCGGCACGTGCTTGAGGCGGGATGCACTTATTTTTCATGTGTCGACAGACACAGAGAGGGTGGAAAGAGGAGGAGGCATTAGGCAACGAGAAAGGCGCCAGGTGGAAAGAAAGGGTCGGGGTGTACCTGTCCAAAGCACTGGCGCAGGAAAAAAAAAGAGTGCCTAAACAGGAGAAGGCAGAAGAGTTCGGCACTCTCTTTTCTGCCTATCGTACGTATCAGCTCGATAAGGGTAAAGAAAACCCGCGGTGTGAGGGGCGCGTCGTCTCTGGGAGCGCCGTTATTTTTTTCTTTGTATCCTACTGCTGCTTCCTGCGGAGCGCTAGGACGCAGCCGGACGTATCGTCACCTAATGTGCCTAGCACCATGCGAAACGGCCAGCGCAGCCGCAGGTACTGTACCCAACGTCCTTCCTCATTTCTGTTCGCTTTTCCGTGGCAGCGACCGCGTGTAGCAAGCTTGACCCGTTCCACCCGGACACTGCATCGTAATTATAGTGCTTCCGAAATTTGTTCGCTTCGCCTGGCCTGTGCACTCGAACATATTTGACAAGACATCTTTACCGTGAAAACGACAGTTACCTGAATAACGACTACAAAAGCTTATTGCGGAAATATAGGCACTTGGTGACGGAGTAAAATTTGTATTTGCCGCTCTCTTTTTGTAGAAAAGAATTAGCAGCACAGTTGAATATATATATATATATATATATATATATATATATATATATATATATAGTAGTGGGAATATGGAATATAGTATATGTAGTGAGAATATATATATTCAACTGTGCTGCTAATTATTTTCCTCGTCTTTTTCTTGCATGCAACACGTCGGGTCCAGTGTGAATAATGTTTAAAGAATCTAGTGTATATATATATATATATATATATATATATATATATATATATATATATATATATATATATATATATATATATATATATATATATATATATATATATATATATATATATATATATATATATATATTGACTGAGAGGCAGTCAAAAGAAAAGTACGTCTTCGTTTTCTGACCCAAAGCGTTAAACTAAATGTATTTAAAGTGCTTTATTTCTTAAACAATCTCCTTTGGGACACCATACGCTTATCTGTCAATTGGATGCGCGAGATAAGTTCCTTCCTTTGTTTCCTATACACACACTGCACATAACATGTCTTAGCTATGACAAACAGTGTGCTCTTAACAACCTTTATTAAATGCAGAAATCAGTCAAAAGCGTGGCGTTCTTCATGGCTTGGAGCCACAGTATGTACCGGTTTACATCTTACATCCAAAGGAAATCGGTCCCATGACATATTGTGCAAGACTGTGAAGCCTGAAGGAACTTCCGGAACAACACATGGCTTCCTTTTTACGTGTACTGCTTTTACTGAGTGATTAGGGTCATTTTATGAACGAGATAAATAAATAAGCAATGACAAGCCCATGAGGGCTACTGGCGGCATGTGAAATTCTGAATAATTGTACCTTGTTTCCATGTTATTGTTTTAAAAAAAAAGATACAAATATATGGGGCGCTCATTAAAAAACATAGAGAAATTTGGATAGGACGCAGTGGGAATACTCCTATGTTGTAATCTTTGGTTTAGTGACTGATGAATACAGCTTGTGGTGCCAGGTGTTAACCAACCGAAGAAGGTGCACATTTTCTTACGTTTGGATTCCCACTACATTTGAAAAGTTGACGTTGAGGTGTAGAACTAAAATTACGGAAAAGTGTCGCCCATGAATGCTGCAGAACTATTAGGCTCAAACTATATTTAGGCTCAAACTAGAAGTTGGTATGTGTCCTTTTGATTTTAAACATGCCAAGGTATGCACGTATATTTGTTGAGTGAACAGGAACCGATTCAGACAATTCTACAAGACGAACAGAAATATTCAAATAACTCTATTTTGATTAATTTTTGGATAAAGTGACATGCGATTGGCTGACTCGCAAGGGCGTTACAATTACGTTTGGCTGCAGTGATCATTAGTTACCTCGACAGCGTTGCTATATTTTTATGCTCGAACGTAATCGCCGCTTCAATGAACAATTACACGCGTTTGCTCTCGCGGCATGGAGAGTATTGTATATCATTACCTGTTAACGCGATATCTTTAAAGAGCTCATTTCGCAGAAATGCCAGCGTCGGCGCCGAAATAGGATCATCCTGTCCGTGACCAAAAAATCGAAAAGTATGCAAATAAATAAATAATGAAAATTTTCGGATCCGAGTGAGAATCGAACCCAAGCAAATTTTCTACTGCAGAGCCCCGAGATTTCTTGAAGCTCCTTTAAAAAAATCACTGTATGAATGTAATGTAGCAAAAGGAGTCTTGTATCGTGTGAAGAAGCCTAGAATTGTGCCAGGCGTCAAAAGATGTGAATTGAGCGACGAGTGGGTGCTTTAAAGGCCCACACATAAAACGGGCCTGCGCGGAACGCATATAATCGTCACAGCAAAAGCTGGAAAGGCGGCCTTTTTTTTTGAACTGAAGGTTAGGCCTTTTTGAAGCGAACTTGAGGCGGAGCTCAAGTTTCCTTCAATTTTCTTGCATAATGAACGTGGTGTTCTGATTTACAACTGAAATCACCGCGTAAAATATTTTTCCTAAGAAATTTACTCAAAGAAACCCTGACACTGGTGGAGGCACAGCGGTAGAGCCGGCAGGGAAATTATGGTTGGAATACGGAGGTTTCCAGAGTTCGCCCTGGTTTCCAACGACTTCGTGGCTTTGAAAATTTATTATCGTCAACCATGTGCGTGCTGCGTTATAGGTCCGATTTGAACAGTTCACTACAGGCATGTATACGTCCGCATATTTCACTGCTTTGGTGTGTTCATATAACCATGGGTACTTGCAAGAGTAGGAACGAAAGGATCAATAAATAGTGCCGCAAGATAAATTAGAATGATAAGCGCACAAATAGGACCGATTCATGTGCATATCTGTCGTTACAATGACATGTAGATGAATTATCGCAGTGCCATCATTTCATCTTATAATTTTTTATTTTATTCTTCATAGCCTAATGCAGTGCTGGCTGAATTACAGCGTGCGCTTACGTCTGAAGGCCACTGGCGAATATAGAGAACAGAAAAAAATTCTTCAAGGTCGCAGTGTCGCGGTTTTAATGTGCTGGCTGCTGCGGCACCATGCATGGCATTCCCATAAAATCTATTCGAGCGGTACAAAAAGCAACAGTTCCGAGATTCTCAGCGACTGCGGAAAAGTGCACTTTCTCGTGCTTTGCCACCAAGCTGCAGCAAATTCCGTTGGATCGCTACTGTCCGGCCGACTTTCCTTCTTGAGGCTTGACGTGTTTGTGAAAGGGTGCGTAGTGCACGACTTGAGGCGTCCTCTTCGGTATACGGGACGAAAGATTGATGGCACCGCGTGCGCCAGAAAACCATTGGAAAGCAGTTCTGCGTTGATTGATGTTGTCCGCAGGGAAATGAAAAATGGGCGACATGAAAGTACGCCCTCCGGTCAGTTTCGAATGCACCACAAATGTATCGGTGGCAGCATCCTTCGATTGTTGCGTTCCTATATATTGTCACTGCAAGATATATAACATAAGAAATGATGCGAAGGTTTTTTTTTCTCTGGGCCTGCACTTAAAACTTCCGAGCTGTCGTCTGCAACTATATTTTTGTGTATAAGCACTCATATGTAAATTAAAAGAAAAACTGGATAGCCACTGTATAAAACAGAGTAGGCATGTTGGTTATATTATGTTAGTTTTGTTGGAGTAGGAACGTTACTACACTAAATCACCAGAAATTTATCGGCAGTGCCGAACTATCCTCACTGATTCTCAACTACCAAGGCACACTCCCTTATCTACTGTTAAAAACGTGTGTAAGGCATATCCAATGCGGCCGCTCGGAATCGCTGGTATTACTGCGACAGAGCAAAGAAAGTTTTCATTTGAGAACCATTCATGGAACGTTCTGGGAGAAAATTTCGTGCTCGTAAGCCGATCAGATTGCAGAAAATAAGTGTGACGCGCAGTGGCGAGATATTGATACGACATTGTTAACCAGTTGAGCTTCTTTTGAGTCAGTGCTTGCGTAATTTCTCTATTTTTAAGACTGCTTTTTTTCGCCACGGGTTACATTTATACTACAGAGAAAAATTTCGGATCATGTTTCAGCGCTATCTTGGCGCTTCAACTTGGGTGTCAAGTTTATACGGCCCAAAAAGGCCGCGCCTTAAAACTGCTTTATTAATTTTGGAATCTTAAAAAAATTGAAATTGTATGCGTTCATGATGCAAAAATGTTTTACTAGAGACTCGGGATACGGGCAAAACCTTGTGCTTGCCCGTGAGGCGTTGCGCGGTGACGCGGCCTCTAGTCGCTAAGGCCTTGCAACTTCTCAGAAGCTTCACTGTAGTGCGCAACGCTCCTGCCAACAGCAGCTGTGTGCGCATTCTTCGCGCCTTCGAAAGGGGCGTGAGCCTTAGAAAAATGCCGAATCGGCACATTTATCCGCAGCTGCATGACTGCGTGAAATATGAGAGGTGCGGATCGCAAGAGACTCTCAACAAAAGCTGTCTGGGCGCTTATCGTTCTTTAAACTGCAGAAAGCTGAGCTTGACGGTATAGAGATTCATCGTGGGAGAATGCAAGTTGTGCAGACACGAGATAACAAGGCAATACAAGCGCCGGCGTTCGTGTTGCCCGGCTCTCTTTTTTTTTGTGTGTCTGCACGTCTCACCTTGTTTTGTTATTGTTGATGTTGGTTCTCTAATTGGCTCGCTGATCAATTTTGCGTTCAGTTGCCACGAATGATTGTGAACGGCCCAACCAAGACACGCTTTCAATAAACTAAGAAATGAACGAGAGAGAAGTATACGAGGAAGAAAACAAAAACATATTGACTAAGAGGCCAGTCAGTTCTCGGACTGGCTGGCTACCCTGTACTGGGGAAGATGGTACGGGGAATAAAAGATGACAGAAGCGAGATCTTACACAAAAAAAGAAAGAAAAAAGGGTAGGACTATAATACGTTAAAATACCCTGCTTAAAGTCTGTCTTTCAGACTAATTGTCCGTATACAAAACGCAACAACGCTCTCAAAGCTTTCTGTGCGGAGGACGGTCTAGGCCACTGTCCCAAGACCTTTTCCTCGGAGAATTGGTGATAGTCAAGTCTATCGAATACTTTCGACAGTTCTTTTCTTGGCGCATTCAAGCAACGGCACTCACAGAGAATATGGGTGATTTCTCCTCGCAATTACAATTGTCACATGATTGCTACTGGCCATGCCGGTTTGAAAGTAGTAACTAGAGTTGGTAGAGGTCGTATATAATTGAAGTGTTCGTAGTTGAAGAATCGCCGCAGGCATGGTCTATCTTCTTCGACTCCAGATCAGC